ATTACTGGATTACAATAACTTAAATACACATTAAAGACAGGATTGGTTGAAAAAATTCTAAATTTTATTTCAGATTTCAAACATTAGTTTCTTTGACAAATATGTTAAAGTAAAAAAAAAATCAAGTTGGCTTGTCATGGTACAGAGAGACAAAAATCCAATGTCCTCACACAAGGAAGCAGGGTCTCAGGAGCGTAATATTAATCACAGAATCATACCGTGAATATTTCTAAAAAGTTTGAGACTTCATTGTGCCTTTTGTCAGTTGAGTATACAGTAGTCATTAACTTATCCGAGAAGCAGAAACCTTTTGTATTTCACCAGAAACTCCTAATCGGATCAAGTGCAAATATCTTGAAGTAAACGTCGTAGTAAATGTTTCTGTGGCAGATCGTAAAAGCCTTCGAGGCATCTGAATAAAGGTGCCAGGAAATGGTGTTAAACTGGTAACTGAAAAGAGAACTGCAACCTCTGCTGAAGGCTCGGTGGCGAAAGTCAAAGAACAACAGAGACATGTTCGTTCTTTAACCACAAGTCTGAAAACCTTCTCGCTGTTTCGGGAAGGATAATGTTTTCCCTTTTATGTATTTCACAACTGTGCGCCCTCTTACATGACTGACAAGAAGTTGGTAACGCTGCACAATGTGGCCTCAGCCCTCAATGAAAAACACATTTCTTCCAGCCTGCATACATGCAGATAGACAAACACCAAATAAAAACCACAACCAAAGTAAACTGAGACGGGAGACTCCTTCGTGGGAACAAGAGAAACCGTGGCCTGTGTGGTCGTAATAATGAGGCAAAGACCTCCATTTCAACAGCTGCCTTTTGCTGTGGTTGTTTAATGATGTTGCTTTATATCTTTCATGAATTTATTTGATTCTGAAGGAAATGGAGCCAAAGCGGATGGCCCGATTTTTAATTTGATGAGTGAGATGTGTATGTATGTATTTTCAAAAAATTTCATTTACTCAATGTGTCGGTGAATAAACCAGCTGTTTCTATTGAATAATGTCCAACAACCCCAAGCATCTGGGGGACTGAAAATGTAAGAAACTGCTTAGTGCAGAGTTGGACAATCCACTGACCGCTATGCTGTTCTTTCCTCATAAGTGACTGTTGGTCAGAGAGCCTGTCACAATAATGGAATTACCCTCTATTCTTTCCACTGATTCATCACCAAGTAACCACAGGAAGTCAAGTGGTTGCCATTTTACCCTAGATAAAGACTAAAATTTTTTAGATCATTTTCAGGGACAAAAAAGGTATTTTCTTTATCAGAGGTGAGATATATTCATGAAAATATATTCCTGAACTTGCCCTCTCAGTTGAGTAATATGTTTCTGACTTAATCTAAAAAGTGTAACTCTTATTTTTCAGCTCAGGTTCCATTAACAACAGTATTTTACAAAACATTGTGCAACCTAACTCTGACTCCATCCAATTACTCACTGACTGAAGGCCATTAATGTATATTAATGTTGCTTTTTATTAGCCCTACATCAAGCACAGGAATAAAAACAAAACCTCTACTCAACTTGCTTTGCACTTTTTATACAGACTTGTGAAAGGAATGTGGGATTACATTTTTTTTCTCTAAACAGAGCTAATGAAAAGAAACTACATTGTATAGTTAACATGCTCTCTTATCCTCCTCCTATGCAGTAGTGTTAGGTCAGGTTGTGAATATGACATATATGAAATTATGAATTTGAATAGATTTCTACTCTAAAGAGACCGTAGTCCTCACTGCTGCATCCTGGGATTAAATGGCCCTTATCTTCCTTTCTTTTTCCATTTTTTAAAACACTTTCTCCTGTTGGAATATCAGTTATCTGGTTGGACTCTTCTCTTCTGTGTCTCTTTACTTTCTTTGCTGGTAATGCATCTTTGGGAGCCTTAGATTTGAGAGAATTTACAAGTGCCTTACAAAATCTAGTGCCCTCTAACTGAGTTTGGTGATTTCCCTTTTTGGTCTTGAGCTGCTGCTTCCACCCATCACAACCACTGTGTGGACCAGGCTCAGACGGGCAGGGATGATTCCTGGTTAGTGCCAGAGCAACATCACTGAAATCAGCATCTGCTGGATAAGCTTTGTACCTGAATACCAGTTCAGCTACCCTCTCCAGAATGACTTGCTTTTGCTTTGCTTTTCCAACAAATATCAGAAGAGCTCAAGCTGGGTCAGGAAAAAGGATGGAAATGTCAGTTTTATGGGAAAAATGCACTGTGTTAAAGTAAAACCCATCTAGAATAGGATGCTCTTGTCATGATTTTATCTGGTCTGATTAATGATTCGACACACCTGTGCAGCTCCGCCCCATTCTCATCAGCCTTAATGAGATCCACCTGTACCTCTGACTGGATAACCAGCTCTCAGACCAGTCACTAGTGCCAGATTATTAGGAGCCACCGGTGAGTTTAATCTAGCGGTCATGTACTTTCTGACCCGTTTCTGCCCTCCGCTTTATCTGAGCCTGCTTAATTCTTGTCGGACCTGGTTGCTTTGCTGCCTGGATCTCTGACCTGTATCTGTGCCCTGACTCTGCCCCCTTCCTGGATCTCTGATCACCTGCAGTAGTTTACATCCCATAAACTGTTCCCTATCGTTATCTGATCTTGTCTGGCTGAATTGTGGGTCCTCTGTTCCTGTTCGTACATTTTGTGTAGATGGTTAATGGCCCTAATTGGGTCAATTAATCAGATCAGCTGTTCATTTTAAGAGAATATCAAGTTGAGAAAAGATTTAACAATTCAAAACTTCTAAATGAAATTAGAAAGATGATTTTTTTTTCATGATATTTCTTGGGTCCCAGGAGTCTATATATTTATTTCTCAACTTTTATTTAGCCGTTGCTGTGTGTACAGTCAGAGGCCAAGTGCCTGTGGTCTGATGTACATCTCGAGCAATCAAGCATGATTGCGTGTATGCTTGCAAAAACAATATTAAAGAGCAGCTAGTCATTATACACTGAAATTCTCCAGATAAAGGGTTTGTTTAAAAAAAAAAGTACAGCCCAACACCCCCACACTCTAGCCCATCTTAAGGATATTTTCCAAACCAAACATAGATAAGTGTTGTAACCATGCATGCCTTATTTTAAAAGTGCTCCTTTTTAGAACAGCTCATCTGCACATCGTACTACATTCATTTAGGGCAATAGTCATTCTCATTATAATGCAGATCTCCTTTAAGTGACATTTGTTAATGTCATTTGCATGAACTATTGGGTTTGTGGAGCAGAAACCCAGTATTTGGTGTATTTAGGGGAAACTGAGATTTGCACATCCAACATATTCTGACATCATATTTGGAGTGTGGACTCATTGTCCCTCTGTTTTTTGTCAAAACCAAAAGAGATTTAGAAGACAAACAAATCAGACCAAAGAGGCTGCAGGATCCACTGGGAGAACAATACAACAATCAGCAATCATCCTGGTGGGGGAGATAGTTTTTATCTCCTCAAAATCATATGGTAAGCTGATTAAATGACTCCCAGAGATGCCAAAATGCTCTACTATGACAAAGTACACTAATGCAGCGTGTCACAAAAGAGAAACATTTAACGTTTATTCATCTTCTTTAAAAAAATAAATGATTCCAGATGAAATCACTTTAATATAAGTATTTTGTCATGATTTGATGTCTCTTTGTAATAGAAGAGGTTAAGCTGAAGGTATCCGTCCATTTATTTCTTGCTTTATTCCAAGGTGGGGTCGCAGGGGGGCTGTGATCCCAGCCCAAAGTTAACCGGTGGGACGCAACAAAGACAGATCACCTGAACGTTACAGGGCCCTCTACAGGGATGTAAAGAGATCTTATGTTCTTTTGTATGAAAATATTCTGATCTTGAGGCAGAGTTTAGCCAAACATTTTGTGAGGAATACATGTAAAACGAGCTTTTCTCTTGTGTTTCTGAAGAGGTTCACAGACAGTGTCATTTTTTGTATAACAATGGGTTTGAGTAACTTGGATAGCAAAGATCTCTAAACGGAAAGTGTCAGATCTCAGAATATCAGTCTGTCAATGACCTGATTTCACAGCTCTTCTCACTGGAGCCACTCTGTAGCTTGGGACAAAACTACTCTCCTTTTTTCCCCCTTCTTCTGCTACATTTAAGAGACACTAAAGCTCAGTGTTGGCATTGCTCTCATGGGTCCCAAATTGAATCCAAACATGGTGAAACTGCTTTTAGCTTTTCAGCTGCACATGTTTGGATTATTTGGAACATGTGACTGTTTTATGTTGTTTTTTCTTATGTATGATTCAAAGCTTTAACAACATGACCATGCCCTTTTTGATCTACTGTTCGGGCTGTTTTGGTTTTGCATGGTAATTTCAGATTTCCTTTGGTCGTAATTAAGTTCTCTCAAGTCACTAAACGGCTTGCTTTTTGTTCTCATAGTAAAAAATTTCATCTTAACACTATTTCAAAGACATTATTGTTACAGCGCCCCCGATGTTAGCTTTCAGTTCAAATAGTGGAAAAAAAAACTTTGGAAAAAAAAAAAGTAAACTGTTTGCAAATTTGAACATAATCCAATAATTCATATCATTATTTTATTTTGTCATCACAGCGAATGGGCAGCGAGTCCGTGTACTCAGTTGCTCCAAGTCTCTTCTTTGGAGGCAGGAATGTAAATCCAGAGGGATTAGTGTGAACACGCTGGGTTGTAAACCCCTCAGTAGCTCTCCAAGGGGTCTCTGCCTCAGTGCGTAAAGTTGTGACGGGGCTGGGGACGCATCTCGCAGCACAAATGATCACGCAGGCTCCATGTGCGCCACCTCTGCGGGATGCTTGACAAGGATTTCTGATATTTTGAAAGCTCTCCTCGCGCAAGCCACTGAGATATGAAATCTGCGACGCGTTGCACAAGTTAAGACATTTCGATTGAACAAGTCATCTGTCCTGGAGCTCAAACGGGGCCATGGGTCAGCTTAATGGTGCGGGTCTTTTACCATTTGGCGCTATTTGTGTTGTTTTCCTGTGGGATTCTAGTGCGAGTTCCATCAGGACGACACTTGCAGTGGACACGTCAAGGTAAGGCGGGTGGTGATGTATTTCTGTTTGTGTTTTTCCTTTTACAAATGCTCATCACGCTGCGTCGTCTGATTTTGGTCGAATTTCGATAATGCTTTCGAAATGTCCGTTTCCGCAATAAAAATAAATTTTAACAGGAGACTGTTTCAATAATATCACACCCTGGGAAGTTTATTGGGATTTAAAGAGCCACAAGTAAGATCTACAGGGATTTTTACAGATTAATAAACGTCTTGACAGCATCCATCTCTACATTTTTTGAACGTTTGATTTAATCTCCAAACAAGTGCCTCACATGCAGATTAGGTCTAAATGCCAACCCCCCCTACAGAGTTTAGTCTATATTTAATTAGTTTCTGCTCTTTACGACACAGTCACTGAGCAGGCTGTCAGAGAGGAGTCCCCTGGATGAACCGCTGTTGCGCGTCTAATCTAATCAGATTTGCGCAGGAAAAGCAGGCAGCAAAACTCCGAAAGGTTGGAATCGGTCGCAGTGCAGAGAGCCAAATGTTGCCTGTTCTCAGACATAATATGACAGATGCTGTTAAGGTGCCCGTAGAGAGTGGGTCAGGAGGTGAGCAGAGGATGTGAGCGGAGCACATGCTCCTAATATTCATGGAGAGGAGAGGAAGAAAACCGCTGAGATGCAAACCGCTGAACATCCAGTTGAACTTCACTTAATGAACCACCATCTATGTTATTCTTTTTGGGCAGATTTATGTTTTGTGTCTTGTATGAACACGTCGGATTCTGTTACAAGGGATGAAACCATCTGTCACTGTAATGGACTGCCTCCCTACTAACTGTGTCCACAATGACTGTGAGAGATACGCACAGAATGACTGTGGTTTGTCTTGTTTCCATTTAAACGTGGCAGGTGATTATTAGTTTAGATCAAGTGGTAAGATGCCATACATCCATCCGTTCATGACAATGGCTTTATCCAATCCAGGTTGTGGGGGCCTGCAGCCTACAACAGCAGCTTAATATCTTTTGGTTTAGTAGACCTACGTTTTCTCATGGTGACAGAAAGCTTTCTATATATAATCCATATTTCAATCATTCAAAGACCAAAAATATAAGATATGATTCACTGAGATGTAGTGTTAATTTTTGTAAGTGTTTTGAAAAAAAGTTATATTTGTCATCTCTTGAAATCTCAAATTTGAGTGTTTATCAATTAAAAAGTCACTTATTTATTCCCTTCCCTTAGTTCCTCTGGTGGTCAAGGGTGCAACCCTGTATGATTTTTGAAAATGGCATCCTTTTCCTGAAAGAAATGTATGAGAGATCAAGCTGTGATAATTGTGTTGTACTAACCTGGCTATCCTAATTTAACCAGGAAATGACAATAGACTGTTGTTGTTCTAAGGTGAACATAATTTAGAAATGAAAAGAAAAGCTTTTGTACTGTGTCGCCACAGCATCCAAACCCCCCGGCTTCCACCTTTTGAACATTTGGAGGCGTCTAAGATAAGAACTATCAAGTGTTCATCTGAGCACAGTTAGGCTCCAGTCACCTATAATATGCAGGAAGTCCTCATTTTTTATTTTCAAAAGTACAAACAAAAACCACCCCTAATAGAAGAGGTGTGTAAAAAAACTCAAGCTTCTGCATTCTCCTAAATGTAATTTGATGTGATTGCCCTGATGCTTTAAACCATTTTGATGATGTAGCAACAGCTTCTTTTTCCTCAGCCACCTTTGGGATACACCATCTTTTGCTTAGCTTGGCAAACAATCAAATATCCATAATTTATCAAATCCCTTCCTGGTAGGGTTCAGGGCATTATATCACTTCTTTTGAAATGGATATCAGTGCTGTTAGGTTTAGGCTGAAATACATCACGATTAGAACTAAAGAAAATCATTGTTACCTTCCTGGAGACAACGTTTCACACATAAAGATTCAGGTTGCATGTTTTTTTTTTTTTAACACACTGTGGTCATTATTGTAATAACCCATGTGTAAGTTGTTTGGGAATTAAAAGCATGGACCTTTGCAGCTCAATATACTTAATCTATCTCCATGCCCACGATTCATTTGCGTATATTTTCAACAGTTTAAAAAAAATCAGTTTAATCACATCTGCTTTGTTAATTTCTTTTCTCAGGGTAGAGTGTCCAGACAATAAGATCTTGACTGTGGAGTATCCATGTGCCAGAGCAGGAGGACAAAATGGCACTTGTTTCAGGTATGTTATGTAACTCTTGGATTGATGGTAAAATTGACCTTTAAATCCAAGCTCATTGAGTAAAACAACTGGTACATACTGTATGTCAGGCATTTATATCTATGAAGCTCACCACTTTTCCCAGAAGAGCGATTTGCTCATTGAGCAAGTGGCTGTTGATGCCTGTAGGGAGAAATGATTATGAATTACTCAGGAGCTATGGAAAAGTTGGAGGAAACACTACTCCTCCTGCTATGTCATTTCCACAAATCCACATAGATTGGAAACTCTAATTATCCTCTTGGGGGGAACAAAGTAATTTCCTGAACACCATCAGAGATGTATGATAGTTTTAAGTAAGAATTGAGTCAGTAAGTGCGTCATCAGTCCTCAACCAGTCAACTAATTTATCTTTGTTTTCTAAACTAGTGCGGGTCTTTAACCACTGAAGATGAGAACATTTTTTAGCAGTGTGGCTATCACTTTCCATGCCTTTCAGGTTCCATCTGCGCTGAAGTCATTTCCATCAGTTTGGCTCTAATGGCAAAGCAGAACTTGCAGTTGAATTTGCTCCGCTTGGTTCCAGAACTGAAACCTTCAGGGAAGACACCCCCCTCTGGGAGTCTGTCATTTCTATTGCACTGTAACCATATAGAGGAAAAACAGGCTCCTTTTAGAAATTACCAAACCAAAACCTTCTTTAACAGTATAATCATTTGGGAATTGCGTGCTTTTTATCAGAATGAGGGTATGAAGTATTATACTAGTACAATATGTTTGGAATATTGCACAATGCTTTAGACATATGATCTAATAAAATTGGCTTTTTCCTTATTACAAGTTGTCCCATGGGATTTATTTCCCAAAATGGTACCTATCGAGTTTAATGTCTTCAAGCAAGAGTTGAAACAAAGAAAAATTATCCAGAGTTTACGGACATTATAAGACAGGCAATAAGACTTTCTGCATATAGAACATCACTTACAATACAATGATAGAATAGCATTGAAAAACCCTCATTTTTACAATGAGATAAGTCTGAGATGGAGCCAATTTTTGGCTCAGGTTTTGGTGGTTAGCGCAAGAGTTTTCTCGAATAAATGAGGCACCAAGTCTGGTTTGATGCCAGACCATGTGATCTGTTTACTGTCAAGGTTAGAGGGATACAGGCTCTGCGTCTTGTTTCATTTCTGGCTCCGTTAGAGATATGTAGAACTGGAAGAGGTGGATTAGATGAGGCTGTATTTTCCTTCGTGCACTGTTCAACACAGACTAGGATCAAATAGATTTAGCAGACGACTTCAGAGGAAATCAGATTGATCTGTTGCCTGTGTACATAAATGTTACTTCTGTTCAGTTTTTGTAAGATGAACCTATTTCCACTGCTTTGATCAAACTTTATGCTTTTAAGGTATGCCTGAGTGCTCTTTGTCCTGCTCTCAGGATTGATGTGTTTCACTGTCAACAGCCCTGATTTGAAGGGCTTTCAAGAGTTTTAGCCCATCAAAGTAACTGTTCATTACTGTGCTCTTATACTGTCTGTCTCTTTTATCTTGTATCTTTTATCTGGCATGGAACCACTGCCGTTGGGGGTCATACACAACCTGATGTTTTTGGACAAGAGCTAACATTGAATCTAATTGAATTGAATTAGAAACGTGAATTAGATTCCTGTATGTGAGGCCTCGACTGCTTGTACCTGTCGTAGGAGCAAGTCTTCTTTGTACACCCTTTAAGTTATATTAGACTGACGTCTGCTGATCAGCTGCTTGAGGTTGGGCTGGAATTGGTTTTAAAGAATTAGTGTGCTGGCATTATTTATGTTCATGTGAATTAATATAATAGATTTTTCCCATTGGAAATAGTCATAATTCATAATTATTTGTTATCCACTTAATGGCTATCACTCCTAACAATGGTAATAAGGGCAAGTTAACTGGTGGAAAATAATGATTGAAAGAGATGGAGTAAGGCAAAAGCAGGGTTCTCATGCCGACTATGACTAATAATGCTGGGAGATTGAGCTCTTACCGAAGAAGGTAGGATTAGCTTGGTTTAAATTTGTCCCGTTAAGCAACTGCATAGAAAGCTTAACATTGCTTAACGTTGATGGATCTTTGGGGTGTAACATTCTGTGAAGTAATTGACAATTATAACACTTTACGGCTTTGGAAAAAGAAAACATAGTTGATATTAAAGACATAGCAGCGGCATCAAGATTTTCATTAGATGCTGGATAGAAATAAGAATACTCTGTAGTTTGTGTTTTAGATTTGTGTACACTCTATTCTGGGTGTGAGAAAGGGTAATTTAAAAAAATAGAGTTTTTTTTCCTTTACAAGTACATGTGAACTGCAGCACAGGTGGAGAAATCCAGCGCTTCATAAACCTGCCAGCCCTTGTTACATTTTCTAACCCGTGATTGTGAGCAACTGAAGTTTTTAAACTGTATTTGACCCAGGCCTGGTCAGTTTAACAGTGTAATTTCTACCTACAGCATTGGAACGTCTAGACAGGCATCGCATTTTCCTGCAATTGTGGGTCTCGTCTCTTATTTCTTCACCTGGCAAGACACTCATGTTGCAGTAATCTGGGAATATATGAAATGTGTAGTGTTATTATTGAAAAAGACGTGCTAAATGTTTGGAAAAATGTACACCTTACCAAAGAAAGTGGGTTTAGTTGCTATAAAAACAACGCAAAGTGTGATACTTAGATTTTTTTATGCACTCACCATGAGCTGCTTGACTCAGAGACTTTCTTATTAGGAGCAAAACTATTTGTCCAAAGTGTCTGGAGCTCTGGCTCTCTTCTTCTTGCAAGTGG